TTATTTAGTGTTAAAAATCATTTCTATGGTATATGTACATATTTTTACAGTTTTTAAAATACTTCAGAAATTCATTATCTCATGCCACAAGGCATGCATAAAATAAGCTTATTTCCTTGTACTATTATTAAGCTGTCCAGAAGAAGCCTTTTTTTGACAATGGATCACTGAAAGTTATGCTGTATCTTTCTGTTAATTAGAAAATAATTTTGGATAATAAAATAAATGTATTAGAAAAATATTATATTAAAATGATATTTTTAAAACACATAATTAAATTAATGTATTAGAAATCTGTAATTTAAAGCAAACCTTCGTTCTTCAACTACATATTCATTTCCGATACCCAAAGGCTAATTCCATCATAATAACTTGTATTTTAACTCGTCATTATTCAGCAAAACTTTTTGATTAAAAAATTCTGTATTCGTCCTTTGTGATAAAAGCCCAAGATACGAACCTCCACCATCTGCAAAATGCATGGCTCTCTTTGTACAGGATCTCTGTGGCTGTTACTGGAAGCCTAGAGTATGTTCAAGCAGTAGTAAATAGGCTTCCTTATTCTCTGTTTATTTAGTGTGTGATATATTTGTTTGTGTGTGTTTATTTGATAGTGTGTCTGTATAAATACTTTTGTCTGCCATTGGAAATAAAAATATATGCATTACAAATCCGAGTTATTAAGTATATTAAGGCTGTTTACATTTTTCATTCCAAAACATATATTCAATTAAAATACATTATGCAATTTGTGTTCATCTACATTTGTTAATGTTTAATTAATGCCAACAGAAACATGTTCGCATAAATTCCTCTAAGTAATTTAAACATGTTTGTTTAAGAAGGCCATTTTTTATCCAAATTTATTTATTGCATTATTTGCATTAATTATTCTTATTTCATTATTTCTTATTATATATTAAAATTTACATATATTATGTACTTTTTTCAGTAGACAATCCAAGAATATTCTATATGTTAAAATGTATGGTATATGCAATAATTCCCCCCCCCCCCAAAAAAAAAAAAAAAAAAAAAAAAACTTATCCTCTATTTGTGATCTTATTATCTGATTGTGTCTTCTTCAAAATACACAAATAATCTGATGGAATGAAAATATTTTGGTCATTAAAACTTTTTAATCACTGCTCTTTACATCTACATTTCTTTTTTCACATAATCTGAAGTTTTCGAGTAGTCTGAAGGTTTTCAAACTGTGTTTCACAGAAATTTTAGATACCATGCAACTCCTCTAGGGCATCTGTAAGTCAAAATTTAAAACAATTTTTAATATCACTGGACATCAAAATGAAATACTTGAAATAATCTTTGAAATTCTCTTATTATTGTTAAAAAATATTAAGCAGATTTTTGTTTATGATTAAATTTATAATGAAATAATGAATTTCTTTTACTTTCTACTTTCTGCATAAAATGCACAAATTTTATATTTCAATTCTTTAACATTTATTTTTCTGAGGATAGAAATTCTTCTATAGAAAAAATTACGATTTTAGAAGTTTTTCTGAATTTAAAGATTTGAAGACAACCCTGTTATAAGGGTTTACGATTATAATGTGAATGACCCAAATAATTGTAAATGGCCTATGGCCATACTTAATACACATATTATTTAAATTGACATGCTTTACCTGTAATGTACATTTGTGACTTATGTTATAATTTAAGTGCACCAGTTTACTCACACTTATCTGTATTGTATGTATGTATTATATGCATCTCTAGACTCAGGTTAAAGCTAGCTCGTTTCCCCTTTCTCAGCTTTCCCAGATGACATTTTTGGGTCTTTACTGGAACTCGACGCACACTTTATTTCGGCTAGAATAACCACTTATCTCACTCTTCTTTTATTCAAAAATTATAACATACTAATTTGGGGAAAAAAATTATATTTTATGTTAGTTACTCATGACAACATTCGAAACAACCTACATGTTCGACAAGGGGTAGGGGTCTAGGAAAGCCACAACTTTTTCAATGAACTGGATGAATAAATGCAGCCCTGCCTTTTGTTGTGTTTTATGCATTTATAAATTTCTACCTGACTGTTTATTCTTTAATTCTATATAACACAATTAATCGATGCTTGTTTCTTGTATGGAATTTTAACATTAATTCTACATAATAACATGAGTAATCTTTTTTTTTTTAAATTGTATTTTAGCATTATTAAAAAACACTTTGGCACTATGAACTGAGAATATCTGTCAATCTGTCTTCTACGTTAATTTACAATAATATAAATGTGAATATCTGAATGGAGTTATATTGAAAGATCTACTGGATGCTATGATTCCATGATGGTCAATCCACCACATTGGAAATATTAAATCAAACAATAAGTACAGGAAAAGATTCAGCAAGACAATATATCCTCTTTTGAATGAATACATTTAACTGTAGTTATTCCATATGATGTATTATACAACACCCCAAAATCAAAATCATGGAAAATAACTTTCTAAACCGAGTTTACAGTGTAAAAAAAGTAGTGGAAAAATGTTGTAGTCATGTAACTGGGCTATCTAACATAAAAATTACAGCATATTACACCAGTGTTCTTACCTTTACTGCATATTACAACCAAATAACTACAATTAGATATGAGAAAGAACAGGCAGTGTCAGTACAACCAAGAGTAAAACTTTTACAGAGTTGCTAATTTGAAAACAAGTGAACCTGTAAAACTAACCCTGCATACTACTGGTTTGCTTTAGATGCATTTGGTAACCAATATGCCGTAAGTCTTTACCAGATTCAGTTTTGAGTGCATTAAATACTATATTGCTCATATGTCTTGATCGTGACAATCAATGCAGCTGCAGCATTATTGAATAGAAATAAGTTATATGACTCTCAAATAAGTGTTTGTAAAGTTGTTCAGGAAATAAATATTACTAAATAATAACATGTATTATGTTTATTGAATTGTACAAAACTTATATGTTATACTTTGAATTATCGTCAATTTTAATTGTCTGAAATCTGGTATTTGATAGTATATAGTTGTAGCAGTTTTTTCACTATAAATTCTGAAGAATCCGAAAATAAATGCACATACTAAAGTATTTCAAGTATGATAATATTCAGTATTTAAGATTATCCTAAAAGTATGAAATTTATTATTTTATTTGAAAATAAGTATTAGTGTATCCATGGCATGCAGGTCCCCGAGATTACTCTATTATCCACTCATAGGTGGGGGTGTCACCTTTGCCAAAGGCTCTTTGTAGCCTGCTTTAGGTTTTATACTAATTTTAATTACTGGCCATCTACTGAAATGGTTTCTTTATGTATATCCACCTTTATTCCAACTCTGGTATTTCTACGGCGATGGAGGTTTAGTTGACCATACTTCTTGACAATTCTTTTACTTTTTTTTTAGTTTAATTTTTTTTTTCAATTTGAAGCGGTAGACCAGTATTTTCATCTCGCATAACTGTTTTTGAAGCAGACTCGAAAATCTCCTTCAAAGAGTTGGCTACATTGTGTAAATTTTCGCTATCTAAATTCCAAAGGAGTGACCGAATTGATCTGTAATTTGCATCGCACTCATTGATCAAATTTCTTTTTTTACTCAACGTTGCTTCTTCAGATATGGTGGGTAAATTATCTGATGTTCCACCTGAAGGAGTTTCAGTTGATGAATATTTTCGTTTTCTGGTGCCTGAAATACTTCTTGAGACTAAATCTTCATCAACTTTGAAAATAGGTGTTGAAAATAGCCATTCTGCAGTACATTCCAAACTCCAGGCTGGAAACTTCATGCCAGCAAACACAATATGCTTGCACAGCAGTCGGTTTCTTCTGAAATCTAAGCATGTGCATTGACACAGTTGTTTCTGTTCATCAAACGTGACAGAATAAACTGCATCATGCTTAGTTTCAGAAGAAACTTTAAAGAAGCCATGTGAAATTTTTTTTTATACTACCCACATAAACTTCAGCAGCTCTTAATTTTGTTTTTATGTGATCAATTAACCATTTTGGCTTATTGATTAAATAATTTGGTACATGTTCATTGTATAATCTGGCCTGCGAAAGCATACTCAGATTTTTTCTGACGTAAATTCTATATCTTTCTGGCAGAAATTTCTCAACCAAGATCTTAATTATTTCAGACAGCATACAGTTTTTATATCCCTGAAGATATCTATATTTTAGTTCCTCATTCAACACCATTGTTCGAGTTTATGAATAAGTCATTTGGTTTGTAAGCCAAAGCCCATCTCTCAATTTCCTTGAACCATGTTAATTCAAAATAATCTTTCACAGCTTCATATTGGTTCCATGATTTTAATACCTCTATTGCTGCAACCATTTCATCTTGAGTTGGAGCATTTGCTATGGCACGTAATTTACACAAAAGCTCTTCTTTGGGAACCACTGCATTCTTTTTCTTAGAAGCCCATCTTGACCATGCCTGCTCTCGATGGAAACTACATATAAAAACCTTAATTCCTGTAAAGACATTTTCCAAACTTGTAATTTCTTCCATTGCAAAATCAACCATCCCATATTTTGGTCTAACGAGAGGCGACCAATTTTTAATAATTATAAGAGCTTCTTCTAATGCTTTGGCTGTTTCATTTTGTGTAATTATTATGCTCACTATTTGATAGTTCACATTTGTTTTGACAACTAAAAAATAAAGTGGGAGAGCATACTTACAGGTTCGATAGGTCGCGTCGAGAAGAACAAGATTAGAACCATATAAGACATATAAATTTTTCATTTCTTCACTTTGATATACAAATAGCAGATTTAGTTTTGAATCTGTAAAGTCATTTGGCTCAGTACCATCATATGTATTTTCAGTACATGGTCTAAAAAAAACAGAACACTTGGAAGTATCCCAGCTATTTATTAACATTTCTGTATTTTCCTGGTCAATTTTACTAGTTCTAATATCGGATTTTGCTTGGCTTATTATTTTCCTTATTGCCTCCATTTCTGGATAAAATCGTCTGCGCGTTTTATCAGTTTCTCCCCAATTCAGTTGAAACGTATACTTCTAATAGCTCTGCAATTACAGTGGCATTGCATTTTCCATTCTTAACTTTAGAAGCTATGAAATGCCGCACTCTAGCATCTATAGGTTCTATTACTGCAGCCATGTTACCCATTAGATGATTTTGATGATCTTGGCTATTAGGTAAATTAAACATGAAAACTTCTTCACCAGCAATACTATCTTTATTGGCTAGTTTTTCCTTAATTTTCCGAGATATCATAATCTTTCTTTTTCGGGTTGGCACTACCTGTAATTTAAACATATTTATCACAGTAAAATTTAGAAATTCCAGCACAGTCATCTAAAACTAATTATTGATAAAGGTTCAATTTTAAAAACTTTCTGTTCATAGCAAATTATTCAAAAAAAAAAAAAAAAAAAAAAAAAAAAAGGAGTCATTTCTCATTTCTTTCCTTTAAAAAAAGCTGTAAAAAGGATCTTCCATTTTTATAACAATAGATCAAATTACTTCTTCAAAGAAACATAACCAATAAAACTTCACTTTGAACAACTTATTTCTATTTGTAGCAAATTGGTTAGAATATAATTAGCATAAAAAGCCTTTATTTCTGGCCTGAAAACATCATTTTATTTGCATGTCAATTACTGAATTATTTATTTAGGAAAATATTACTGTTAAAAACCCTCTTTTGGCCAAAAAAAAAAAAAAAAAAAAAAAAAAAAAACTATTTAGAAAAATATGTTGAATAAAGAGACACAAAAAATCATTTCTCTTTTTTACATTGTGACTCTAAAAATACCTTTTGTTTTTATGTCAAAAAGTATGTATACTTTATCATAGAATACCTTCAATACATCTTGCTCATACGTGACAGAATTATATTTTTTTTTTCCTTAAAAAAAATTCTCTAAAATTACTAAGACCATCTTAGAACAAAAAGTTAAATAAACTTCTACCTTGAACTGAGGCATCCTGTACATTCGGGTAACATTAATTACAGCTGGACAATTAACTTTTTTAGTTGTCTGGTTCTTGGAATATGCTTTACCAAAAGCATGATCAGTTTGACACTAAAAGAAAAAAAACACACACACACACATATATATATATATAATCCAAGAGGTGATATTTTTGTATAAATTTTTAAATATAACAATGTTATTTTACCTTTTCATTTTTTTCTTTAGCATAATTTTCCTTTTGACGTTTATTCAGATCTTTTCCTTGATGGCAAACATAGGTTTTTCGCCCAAAGTGGAAATAGGGAATATCATCTAACCAGTTTAATCGTAAATCTGGAGTTAGTTCAACTGGAAAGAAAATTTTGATTTAGATCACAATCTGATAAGCTTTGATTTTTAAAAGAAAGAAATTACAGATCTCTATAAACATATTATACATTTAACATTATACTTTGATTTTTAAAAGAAAGAAATTACAGATCTCTATAAACATATTATACATTTAACTGTCTCTATATATACTACATACTGTAGACACTGCTTAATGTATTGCAGCTGATGTCGTGTATTGCAGCTGATGTCGTGTATATTGGCTATTGAATTTCTAAGTTCTGCTCTTTCATATATGGAAACATAAAAAATGCATCATTTGCTGTAATTTTATTTGCTCAATTTGGTTAATATAATCAAAATATTATACAATAAATTTCTTAAACTGAAGAACGAAAATGATTTTAATCAAGCATTTAGAAAAAAGCGCAAAACAATAAAATTAAAAAAAAAAAAACTTAATTTCATACGAATTTTCAATAGCTATTGATTTGGAAGGGCTTCAGCACAGTTCCCTCTTCTTCAAAAGGGAGGTAAAAATTCCTGAAAACATCTTTGCCAAAATACACTTGCGTTTTTGCCCAATTTCAGATTTTACATTGGCAAAATCTCTTTAAACAAGGATGCCCTCCAAGTATTAAGATTATAGGTATAGAATTGGTCCAATAAATTTCAGAAACATTATGGACTACTCAAATGAACTTTTGCAATGAAGACTGTAAACAATTGATAAACAAACTTTTATTTTTCCTAATTAAAATGTTAAGAAAGTGGCTAGTTATATTTATAGTTAATTCAATTCCTATTTTAAAAGATACTTTTCTCATCATCTTATATTATCAAAAATGGGCAAATGTAATCACATTAAGCAGCACCTACTGCAAACATAGAGAGATATTAAAAGCATTAAACTATTATGTAAAAAAATTATGTCATTTTGTCTCATATTAAAATTATATATGCTAGGTAAATAGGTAAAGTATAGAATGAGCTAGCTGCCTTACGCAAAAGGGATGCCTTTGAGAAGGTCTAATGGGAAAACTGTCTTGTATTCACTTATATATAAGGAGAACAGGAAAATTCCCATGCAGCTAATCCATTCAACAGTATTTGTACCTTGATCAAACATCCAGTATTCAGCTACCATAGGTGCTAAGAGTCAAAATAGACAGTAATGTGATTTTACACACAAGATAAGTAGCATTCATTGACTAAAGAAATATATATATCACATCACTAAAGACATATATATATACATTTCAGAAAACTTTCCTGTTTTCTAAAATTCAATATCTTTATTATTATAACTTCCTGATATTTCAATGCATTATAATTTTATGGTGAACTATTACCTGAAAATAAAACAGAATATTTTTTGAATTGGTAGTGTTTATTATAAGGTTATTTTGAAACATGTTGTTAATGATAAAACTAAAGAATGGATTTTCTTTATAGACTATTAAATGATTATATTTCAAATCAACAGACTGCATTCATACACTAAAATAGGATGAAAAATATAGTAGTCATCGAGACAATTGTCGAGTTTCTCAAGAAACAACAATAAAAATTTTCAAATCTAACACGGTATATCTTGTTTAATGTTTAATATAGTACGGAATGTTTCGTGAAGCATCAGCTATTTAAAAAAAAAAAAAAAAAACATGCAATACCTGACAATGAAACCAAATAAAAATCAAACATAACGCTATTACACGTTATGCAACAAAATTAATGAATATGAACGTCTATAAACCCTTTTTTCAACTTGGACCGAATCTCGCAACATCAACTAGATCTTACGCAATAAAATTAATACAAATTAGTGCTGATAAGTTCTTTGGAACAAAATGGCCAAATATCAACTAAACAACCAAAGAAAGCATTTACATTCTAGAGGATTTTTATTTACTCATTACATCTTCAAAAATTACTTACTCTCTTTATCGAATGACTTTCCATAGTAGTAAACATATTTTGTTACAGTTTCTACTTCGTGTCTGCGAAGTATTTCTTTAAATTCGCTCCAAGATTTCGCAAAATTCATTTTGCCTCTAAACACAAAGGTTCATACACGAGACGGACTTTGAAACTCGTAATCGATAAACCGGCCATTCCCCTATCGTTGACACAAGTCTTTCTATCGATGGGAAAAGGAGACTCTAGGCCATCCGAAAAAGCGGCGACCAAAACTATAGGTGAAGGGAAAGTAGTAGTTATTATCTAGTAGAAGTAGTTGTAGTTGTTGCCTACAGTATCAAGTGTTATTATGCTAGAGAATTAATTTTGAAATTTAGTGTTTTATACCAAAACCATTCGGGTCTGTGAATAATTAGGAATTTTACAATCAGTTTCCACAGAAGCTGAATTCCATTAAGGCCAACTAGATATCTATCTTGGTTCCTTGCCCGAGTACTCAAATAATTACTGCGTTTCTTTTTTTGGCCCCTCATTTTTGGCTTGTTAATACAACAGGCAGAAAGACATTTTCGGTGCACAGACGAATTTGTTTGGTATGTTTCGAAAGCATGAGGGTGCAAGGTGTAAATGCTTTCATTATAAGTTTTAATGAACTTTTAACCAATTATCCCTTTTCCTCTAGCTTATTAAATAAACTTAATTTTAGCAGCTGAGAAATTATATGTGGTTAAATATGAATCAGAGTCTTTCATACGCATGTTCTCGTCTCCAAAATAAATTATTTTTTAATGCTTTGCTAAGATGTTTCAATAAATCTCATCCAAGGACTTATTCTAGGTTATTAGCCTTGACAAGCCAAAATCGATGTTTATTAGAGCAAATTCCAACAGGTAATAAATACCAGGAATATATGGTAACTATAAAATGTTTTTAATTAAGCTCTAAATTTTGATTAATTTTAAAAAACTTACGTGTGTTTCGAGGGAAACAGATAGCTTGTTTTCAAGGTGTGCAAGTATTCTGTTTATGTACCTTAATACGTTACTAACAACATATTTATAATAATTTATATCCAAGGTTTAAAGTTGGTATTACACTAGTACTTCGTCTGGTTCTTTTCGGTTATTGAAACCGGGTTTAGAAATATGTGTATGTGTGTATCCACATAGATACATACGCCTATGTACACTGCGAAAAAAAAAAAAAAAATGGGACAGCTCGATATCTCCTGTTCTAGTGGGCCGATTGACGAAATTCAGCTTGCATTTTTTCATGTCTCGAAAGCGTTTCTTAGGATATGTATTAGATTTATATATAGCACTGTTCCAATACAGAAATTTTGACACAAAATTCGAATTTTTCTGAAATGACATGCCAATTATTTCCCATATTTCGATTTTACGATTCAAAATTATACCAAGTTTTGTGAAAATCACACGAGTAGTTTTTAAAAAATTAGCTCTCAAAATTTTAGCTCCTCAGTGTTAATTGAATTTAATATATATTTTTTAATGTCTCTTTTTTTATTAAACTTATTTGATTATTTCTCTCATATTTTGAAATTTAGGTTCATTCCAAATAAAATACCTTTTTTTATGATTAGTTTTAAAATTTATATTTTTAAATAATTTTATAAATTTTCAAAAAATATTGGATTATAACCTATGAAACTTTGCCATCATCTAACCCATTAGCCGCTGGTGTTGCTTTGATGCAACGGTCAAAATAAATGGGTATATAAAATAAACTACGTAAGAATTTTTACCAGCAATGATTTGTGTAGGGAATTATGAAGATTTTTCTGTAAAAAAATATTGCCTTCAACATTCATTTTGTTTATAATATTAATCTCATACCTTAAGCAAAAGTTGAGCAAATTTTCTGCCGAGTATTTTTGCTGAAATATTAACGAAGAATCTCATTTTATGAGTGTCTTTTTTAGTCAAGTCACCCTTATCAGAACATTACTCAGTCAGATGTTTATATTTGGTTAGAAGGAAGGGAAAACAGGTTGTTGCGCTGACGCTATGTCAGCATGAAACGGGTGTCATCTCCTTTTTCGCTCAGTCCCTTCGATGTTCTGTTAATGCAAATGAGGTTTCTTACATTAGAAAAAGCCCTTCAAAAAAATTTTTGATAAAGAAACAGATGATGTTAATAATGACAAATGAAACTGATATTGTTGTGTTCCCCCAGAATTCAGAAGCTAGTGACAAAGAAGAAAGGATGCAATGTTTTAATATGATAATGATATTTTTCAAATGATACTTCTGGAGAAGTTGAAATTTGCGTAAGAAGTAATTTCAGTTTTCTAAAAGCAGTTATAGTCATACTAAATGTTTTAAAGCAGAAGACTGAAATCTCTAAGGGGAAAAAAGGAACCGTTAGTTTTCTCAGGAAAACATGAAGAAAGAGATAGAAGAGAAATTAAAAAAGACAAAATACAAGGTAAACCTAGTGCCAGATTTTTGATTTTCCTTTTGGTTTAGACATTTGCTCTCTTCTCGTTGAACAGACAAATATATACGCTCAGAAAAAAAAAAAAAAAAAAAGAATTTATTGTATCTGAAACTTATATGAGAAGATTTGATTGATCTTTGGATTATGGTAACTTGGCGATTTTTTGGCGAAAATTTGCCGACCAACTCTGCTACAGCAACCCTCTATTTTTTTTTTCGCCGCCATTTTGTCTTCACAAAGTAAAGACATGTTTCTTTTATTTTTATTTACTCAACACTTTTTCCAACAATCTACTAGCCGAATTACACTGATGCTAGAAATTTTATGGGTACAACTCTGATATACACCCTAATTTCACCAAATGTGGCAATATGTGTTCTGTGCTGGTTTTTGGCGCAATTGCGTGTTCTATGGCAACCCTGTTGACATTGAAAAATCTTTCCCTGAAACTCGTTGATTCACGTCTGTGTCTGAGAAGATGGGAGGGAAAGATAAAATGGTAGTTGTTGAAGTTCGGCAAAAGGAAATATCATTGTGGCCATCCTGTTAAGGGGTAGTGGATATTTGGAGGTGTGGAAAGAGGGTCTGGGAGATTAATTTCAATGGCTGTACATGATAGAAGTAGGGATTTGTGATTTATTTATTTGTGAACCATAGTAGGAATTTTCTGGGTGTATGGCTGTCATGTAAATAGATAGTGATTACGTGGCAGCATGTTAAAGGCGTATGAAATTGGTATTTCTGCTGTTCAAAAAAGCATTACTGCATGGTAAGTGCATTTTTATTTTTCTTGTCTTATTTGTAGAAGTGTTATGTTCATTGGTCTTTAGTATGAATTTCTATCGTTATGTTGTTTCGAACAGAACGCTGGTGTACATGGTATTATTTTAAATTTTTGTTTTTTATTTTAAAGCGAGGTGTGCGTTAGACGTAGATGCGTTCCTTGCCTAAATTGTGCAATGTAGATGTTTTTTAAGTTAAAAACAGGATGATGTGTACATGGTATTCTTTGAACTTTATTGTTGTTATGTTAATTTATTAAACGAGGTGTGCGTATTTCGTAGATTCGTTGCTAAATTGTGCAATTCGTAGATGTTTTTTTTAAGTTAAAACATGTCACTGTATACATGCATTCTTGTCAATATTTTTTGATTAGAAACTTTACGTTTTTGCTATCTAAATTTTTTGTTTTTATTCGGATTTTTTAGCTTAAAGTTTTTCAAAACGTAGTTTGCATGTGCGTTTTGGAGACGTTTTAGGCTTAAAGTTCGAAATGTAGAAAAAAATTTAGATATTGGCAGTGTGAAGTTTCTCGCCAAAAATGTTTGCAGACTTGATGGCGCATATCAGAGTAGTTCCATTTCATGTAACAAACTGCTTACTCATGACAATATTAACTGCAAAATTGGGAAAAAAGTGCAGATCGTAAACTCCTTGCGCGTTTTTCAGAATACAACAACATAACCATTTACAACCGTCGACTTATTTACTTAAAAAACCATCCCGAATGGCATGCAACACACTCTTAACTTTATCCATCATACTGCTATTTTCTCATAAATTACAAAATTCGCCCGAAATGCAGGAAATTTTTCTTAATCTTTAATCAATAAAAAGCCATATATGAAATACCAGATCACGAAAAAGTACATACCCTTTCCAAGATGAACATTTCCCCATATAAATAAATAAAATATCCAAAGCTTTTACCTCTAAATTATCTATTATATTATAAACGTCACTAACGAATTTAACGCAAACATTAAAAATAGTTACAAATACTTAGTGTAAATATTTAAATATTTCCATACACGTTTACTTCAACTGAACCGTTCAAAATTCCTACAAACATAAAATTCACAAAATAACTATCATTTAATTAAAATATCACTAAACCCAGTACACGTCGATTTTTTTACTTAAAAAAAATCCCAGAATTGCACAAAAATGGATTGCGCACACTCCTTCTCAATATCCTTTCTTTTTGTCATAAAATTAAAAAATTTCACGAAAATGCATGGAAATTTTGTGATCTTAAATCTGGTAAAAAGAACATATATGAATTCCATCTCGCTAAATTATACCCTTTCCAAGGATGAACTTTCCCCGTATAAAATAAATAAAATATCCAAACTTTTTACCTCTAAATTAGCTATTATATTATAAACGTCAGCAACGAATTTATACGCAAACATTAAAAATAGTTACAAATACTTAGTGTCAAATATTTAATTATTTCCATATCCGTTTAACTTCAACTGAAACTTATACCAAATTCCTACACATAAAATTCACAAATAACTATCATTAATTAAAATATCACTAAACCATGTACACGTCAACTTATTTTTTTACTTAAAAAAAAACATCCCAGAATTGCACAAAAAATGGCATTGCGCACACTCTTCACTATATCCATGTACACGGCTTTTTTCTTCCCCCCAAATTAGACAAATTTCAGAAAATGCATGAAAATACTCAACGTATACTACTCAAATTATTCAAACTACAATCATAATTCACAAAATATCATTAAATTAAAATTAATTAAAAAAAAAAACACTACTTAAAATATAAAGCACACATTAAATTAATAAAATAGATTACAATCCTAATTACTAAACTAATCATTGCTTATAACAATTTTCCATTATACCACATTAATTTATACTCCTTACATTTAAACAATGCATAAAAATAATATCCTCAAATGATTAAAAATCTAACTTACATAATCTTCATTACGTGGCTGCAGTACTACTGCTAATTTCTCTAAATCCAGTAAACTGGAAGTCTATTCAAGTAAAAAATTAATAAAATAAACTACTTTCACAACCATGCACCCTTTCAACACTTCTTTCACAAACCATTTCACATTTCTTGCACACGCCATTTAAACTTAACTGTAATATCCTTCCTTTCACACAATCTCTACTTATTATTATTATCAGATAAATGCATTAAAAATACAGAATTCGCTTTACATAGCGCCATGCAATCCGAAAATTAATCAACACTATTTCCCACAACACACAATGAAGGTTTTCCAAATTAACCCCCTTTTCCGATTAAAGAACTGTAATTTGTCCATTAATGTCACATTTCACACAACACAGAATATAGCTAAATACGAAATTTCCAGATTCCCCCCATTTTCTGATTAAACAACTGTAATTCGTCCATTAATGTCACATGACATATCTCATGATCTCTCATTTCCCTCACACAAAATAATGCATAATCGGAACTGAGTGCTTCTCACTTATTACCAAAGTCCTAGGTAGTAACCTTTATCGCCTCCAAAATGTCGCCAAACTACCAGTTACCATATTCCAAAGATCAGCCGAAGATTTATTTGAATATTATTGCTTACAGGATGTCATTCTTTACCTAAAGAAAAAATTTATTGGTCTTTTGATAAGGACATTTCTGTTCCTGTTGTGCGAGAATTGATACCACATTTGCAGTACAGGAATATGAAGCAGAATTTGCATTTGACAATGCTGATAAATTATATGAGGTGAGACCGTATCTAAACTTACTAAATATCACCACTTTTTACGACTGGAAATATTTACTACTGGAAAGTCTCTTTTAGATTTCAGACATGAGAATGCATTATTCCTTTTGCAAACTCCTGTTGAGAGTGCAATTTCATTCAATTTCATTCAATTTCATCAAAAACAACCACTTCCTTCATGGTGCTTCGATTTTTTTGCAAAAGAGTGTATATATTAAAAAATTGGATACTTTCTGATTATCCACACAACTCTTTCGAAAAGTCCTCAGCTCAGGCAAACTCGATGAATTTATCGCAAAGAGGGTCCCCGCGTTACGACGCTATCCCGGCATAAGAGGTGTGCGATTTTCGAGTCTTTGAACGTCGAACAGTTGGATAGAAAATTCGAAAGCACAATGAGTTCGTAACAAAAACCGATGATTGAGTCCAGAAGAAACACCAGTAGCTGATATGCCTTAGACGGAGATAAGTGTGCAATGGCATAAGTGAAAAGAAATTGCCTATCGCTAATCTGAATTGGAGTCCATGTGACCACTCAGCATAAGTACAAATATACAAACATAAATACATAACATTTCCATAAGTAATTAAAAAATACATTATAAGAGAAAATACATAAATACATAAAGGGAGATATATGTACACTATATACAGACATTTAAGCAGGCGGCGAGTCAAATCGAAACACTAGTAAGGGAGAGCGTTTAATTAAGTAAATTTTAAAGGTTGCATTAATTTAGGTATCTTAGTATCGAGAGCGGCCGTTTGCTGTTTACATCAAGTGTATAATCATATTGAGGCACAGGTATGGAACTATTATTGACATTTGGAATATTATAGAAAAATTTGTCAGTAAGGAGTGCGAAATAATTTGAGATAGTTGGAATTTCCAACTCCTCATGTATGGCCGTATTTCTGATGAACCAATGGCTTCTGGTGACTTGTCTAAGCGTTACATTCTGCAAGACTTGCAGTTTGTTGATATTTGTGCGGCTGGTATATCCCCAAACAGGGCAGGCATAAGAAAGTATGGGACGCAAAAGGGTTTTGTAAATGAGCAACTTATTATCAATAGAGAGAAACGGAGTTCCGGCTAATTAAAGGGGTAAGTGTTCGTTTACGGAGCACGGAACTTGGCAATAAGCTGTGTAATGTTGTGGGGTCCAAGTGGAGTCGCCTATCTAATCTAAGGTAATGCCTAGGTATCGGGCTTGCCTATTCCACTGCAGAGGGGTGTAGTACATCCGGATCGAGTCTTCCGAGTCTATTGTGACTCTTTTTGTGAACCAGATCGCCTGCGACTTATCCACGTTGATCTTAAATTTCCAGACAGTGAGCCGGGACTCGAGTGTGTGGATGTGTGCTTGGAGTGCTTGTATAACTGGACCAGGAGATGCATTTTTCGAGAGGATTGCCGTGTCGTCGGCATACATAGCCAGGGTGGTGTGTGGTGATTGTGGTATATCGTTCGTGTAGATATTATAGTAGATAAGCCCAATAAGGCTCCTTTGCAGGACCCCAGCCCTGATAGCCCGTGAGGTTGAGTATGTGTTGTTTACACGAACGATAAAGTGTCTATCCTTAAGATAGGAGTATGTGATGGCTGTAATGTAGTCTGGGAAACCCAGAGAGATAATTTTGTGCATGAGGCCCTCCAGCCAAACACGATCAAATGCTTTAGCTACATCAAGGAAATGCAACCTGCCTGTATTCTGCCGCTCCTGCAGTCCTTGCGAGATGTAGATGTATTTCCCTGGTACAGCTGGTGGACAGAAGAGTGTTTCTTTCTGAAACCATGTTGTTGTGGGGATGATGACGTTATTCTGATCCCACGTATCCATGGAGTCCTCTTCAGGATGATGCTCTGGCCACCTTTTCTGAGCTGACGAGGACAGAAGACTAATTGGCCGGTAGGAGGCTGGTTCTGCAGGAGGCTTGCCAGGCTTGAATATGGGTATGACAATGGCTGTCTTCCAGGACATTGGAAAATGGCCCAGTCTAAGCATGTCGTTTATGATAGCAACCAGTTTCAGTAGCATGAGAGTCCCCATACACTTGATCATCTTGTTTGATATTTTGTCGATGCCTGGGCTTTTCTTGACCAGAGTTTTTTGATGTAGCCGTAGACCTCTGAGGGTTTGACAGGAGTAATGTTATTCATGTGTGGTTTTGAGAGGAATCCTGTTAGTGTGGTGTTAACAAGGTGTTCTTTTGAGGGTGAGAAATGTTTGTGCAAAATTGAGAAGCATAGTGATCAGCTAGTGACTCAGCTTTCTCAATTTCTGTGAGGGCAATATTCTGTTGGCCATTTAAGGGTGGAATATTGGTGTGGCATCTCTTAAGCTTAGCAGTCGCCTTCCAGACAGAGCTTTGATCTGCTGAAAGGGAAGTGATGTAGTTGGTCCAGTCGCGTTGTGTATGTTGGTGAGTACGAGTCCTGACCTGGTGGTTCAGTCTGTTGAGGGTTGTCTTGTCAGCTGGGAAACGATATCTTTGCCATACCTTTGGGCAGCATTTCTTTCCTGGATGAGCTTCCTCAGTTCAGGATCTGTTGCCTTGTGCCTGTGAGAGACTGGAGTGCTGTTTGCATCCAGGGCAGTTGTTAAGTCCGTGGTGAATTCTTGGACCAATGCATCTAACTCATCACCCGTGCTGGCTGTTGGAATGTGTAGTGTGGTGTTGTTTAAGGCTTTGGCATATCCTGCCCAGTTAGTAATGAAGGCCTTTTTGTGTGGTGTGCTACAGACAGAGGTCCCCACCTGTATCATGACCGGATTATGATCAGAGGATAACTCGGTGAAGGTTTGGAAAGTCCTCTGCCACCAACAACTAATTTTTTTGTCAAGCGAAAATGCAAAAGACAGGACTAGAATTATGTAAAACAGTAACCAATTTACAAAATCAAAATAAAAAAAATTTTTAAAAAATCCAGAGAAACGAGCTTTACAAAATGGTAGAATATTGCAGAAATTTGGCATCTCATCACAACTTGGTACTAAGCACACTGGCATTCTCTCCTTGCGCATAGAGATCTGTTTTTATTTTTTAAAAAAATCAGAGAATTGGTTATATTTGATGGGTGTTTTCTTATATATACAGCAATTTCTTTTCACGTAAACAAACATGCAGAAATTCAGCATCTGTGTCCAAATTTTTATCCTTAAAATTCAGTTGTTTATGACATAATAACAAATTCATTGAAAGTGAATTTTTACATTCCCTACTCTTAGGCATAACAGCATATTTCTGAAGAATTGCAGTGCTTTCATTTTTATCAACAAACTCCACATTTCCATTATGATTCCGTACAGGAAAGAAAAAGGCACTGAACGCATCAAAAACAATCATTAATGCCTCAGTGGGTGATTGTGTGCAACAGAGACAAATGCTAATTTTTGTCCGTGGTGTATGCATGCATACCTAGTTTCCCACATAAATACATTTGGCAGCATCATGGTTTGCATATAATAAGAGAGACAGCATGTTACCTTATAAACGCTTTTTGGGTGTGGTAATCAGAAAGTACCAAAAATTGTAATAGTTTTGTGTTCAATGAATATTTTAAATTAATTATTAAGGTATGATTGGCTATTTAATTAAGTAGTCCATATTTAATGTAAAAATTAGAAGGAGAAAAATGTAAGTAAATCTAGGGAAGACATAATCTATAGTCCTCAAAATGTTTAAATACACAAAAACCTCTGGTCCAAAATTGCATGTAGTATTATTATAACTTTTCTGTTCTTTTATGAGCTGTGAACTTTGTACCTGTCATTTTAATTAAATGGTAATTATAACAAGCATCACTTGTATTAGTATTTTTTCATGTTTTAAATTTGATCCAAAATACTGCATAAAATTAATAATAATTGATTTTTTTTTTAACAGATTATTTCCCTTTTTGCTGGCATACTAGAATCTTTCATCAATCACATAGCAACTGTGCTAGAGCAGATTTGTATAAAATACTTGGGGTGTCCCGAAATGCTAGTCAGAATGAAATTAAAAAAGCCTACTATCAGGTAGGTAATCTCTTCCAGTTTATTTTCTTATGGAAAAATATTTTGTGTACATGGTTCTCTTCTACAAAAATTCTTTTTTATGACTTATCTTCTTTATTATATTGTATGAGATATGTAAATTATATTTGTTTTATTCTTTTTCAGTTAGCTAAAAAGTATCATCCAGATACAAATAAAAATGATCCAGAAGCTGCAAAAAAATTTCAAGAAGTATCCTCTGCATATGAGGTGAGCACCTATTTTAGAAAACTATTTCAGTTAGCGTCAGGGCTTAAAAAATAAAATAACTAATAAAAAGTAAAATGACTAATAATTAAAATTAAAATTCAATGAAATGTAAAGATCTAAATAAAAATTGATAAATTATTAAATTCATGATTAATTGTTAAATAAAAGAAATAAAATATCTGGCTTCAGCTGGACTTTCTGGCTGAATTCAAGCCCTGAATATGTGGTATAACTTACAATTTCAAGGGATGAGAGAAACAAAAGTCATTTTTTTCCCAGCACGCCAACAGAAAAAAAAAAATATAATAAATAAATAAATAAATAAAACCATTAAAGCAGCACTAATGAGAATGGAGAGAATGATATAAACAATATGAGAGTATGGAAAGAAATTTAAATGGAGAAATGTAGCTTCGAAAACAAAGATTAAAGAGTCCTAAGCTTTCAGACCGTGATGCCCTGCCCATATAATTCTAGCTGTCAAGCAGAATGTGACGGGACAAAAAGATTTTCCCCAAATCCTATCTGATAACAACATGAGGGCAAATGTAAAGCCTACTCAGGTGAAAATTTTTGTCCCTCATATTTGATTGCATAGTTAAAGTTTACAGGAGCTCTGCAGTGAGAGGTCGGTAGTACTGGAAATGCACAACCAAAGTAATCATTTTTAGTGCTGTCAGGAACAAAAAATTTTACCCTCGCTGTCATAAATTCATTGCAATACTTGGAGAATAAACCTTTGACATGTGGATGTAGGATTTTCTTTCCTTAAAAGTGTTAACTGTTCTGTCTGTTTTTTAACCAGAGAAAAACAGGCGTGCAGTCGGAAGTTATAATCATCTTTCAATGCAGATTTATTTTTAAAATAAAATCCCCCCTAAAACTGTGTTCTATTTACATTTAAGAAGTGCTAGAACCCTTTTATTTAGGGCTCCGGTGCAGTCCGGCTAGAATCACTACTTACCTCAGAAATTGAGAAGTACTGTAGCCAGGCTCCGGTACTTCTAGAGTGGAACAACTTGCCGTTAGTCGCCAATCTCATGATACTAAGCCAAATATGTATAGTGAACAATTATGATGATAGTTGCGAATTATAAAGGTTTTCGGGTATTGCCAACCAAAGGTGAAATTTTCTAATTAACGGATTTTGTAAAGAAATGTGGAGAAGCGGCATGGTCAGATTTACTCCACAAGCAGTGGCGTAGCTAAGTTGGGGCAAGGGGGGACATCTGTCCCCGGGCGCAGCATCCAAAGGGCGGCAAATTCATGCTACGAAATTTTTTAATGAAATGTTTTCCATTTTTGGCACACAGAAAGGGGCACAAATTCTTCAGTTGTCCCTGGGCGCTGGAAACTGTAGCTACCCCTCTGTACACAAGCTTTAGGGCCTTTACTTTCTTGGGCCCTCCTAAAAAATTAAAATATAGTATAAATAGTGATAAAATATATTACAGTCAAAAGTCGTTAATCCGGACTCGTCGGGACTTCGGCGATTCCGGATTATCGATTTTTCCGGATTATAGATCATCAGTTTAAATCTGGTAAGATGGCATGCAGAAATTACAAAATTAAAAATATGAAACCGTAATTTATGAAATAAAGAACAATTATGATCTAAAGGGTATCAAAATTTACAAAAAGAAAAAGCTTAATATTTGTTTGTTTACTTTATTAAACATTTCCTTCAATGTAAGTTGCTTCGTTTCATGTGATAATACTTTCTCTTTAATTCTATTAAACAGACATAATTTCTTGTTTAGTTACAAAGTTCCGCTGTTCAAGTCCTATAATTGCTGTGTTGAGAATACCGACTAATTTGTCAATTGAAATGTTTTCGTTTTCAATAACCTCTGGGTCACTTTCTTCACTATCGGAAGCGAATTATAATGACGAGGAACTTGATTTAAATCATATCAAAGACTATCGAGATGAAATACAACACTTAGTACGGAATTATAAACCAAATAAAGTAAAAACATCTGCTCTGAAGATAAGGATAGTGCTGACAGATCAACTTCCAATCGGCAGCCTGAAATTGATAAACAGATTTCGGATTTCAAAACATACTTTCGCTTTGTAGATACAATTTACATATTAGTAAATATATATCGGAAATTCTATTTGACATAATCTTTCTAATCTATCATAATCTAATAATGACGTTTCTGCCCCCCTCCCTCTGCCGCAGAGCAGCGTGAAATTGATAAACAGATTTCGGATTTCAAAACATACTTTCGCTTTGTAGTAAATATATATCGGAAATTCTATTTGACATAATCGAAAGTTCAAGCTTACTTTTATAAAATTGCTCTAACAGTCTGCAAAAAATAATAAGCCGGATCCAATTCGAAGATTAAGGAACAACGCAATCTGCAACATTAACTGAATTAGATAACTTTAGCTTAGCGTATAACTCCGTTACACATTAAACGGGCATGCGCACAAACATATTCGCAGCTGTAAGGGTCTTATGCCCTCTCGTAAACGCCTGTGCGCATGCGTGAACGCGACGCATGCGCAGAAAGTTTGTAGCTTTGAGGTCCGGATTATGGGTGTCCGAATTAACGACTTTTGACCGTATAAGAGACTTTTAAAGAGCCCCGCATCTCAAATAGCTTAAGGCCTTTTTAAGTCTAAATCTGGCTCTGAGAAGCGGTAATAAATGAAGATGATAATAAAAGAACTTTTTCTTTGTGATGACAATGCTTGTCAATTATCAATCAATTAATGGATGGCGAAATCTGTAGTATGGTTCTTGATTCAGAAAATACTGCTATCAAATTATAGAAAGTGACAGAGAGGTTACTGAAAACAAAAAAAAAAAAAAAAAAAAAAAAAAAAAAAAAAATGATTGACAATTTAGTTGGAATTCTCAACACAGCAGTTATAGGACTTAGACAATGTAACTGAACAAGAAGTTATGTCTGTCTAACAGAATTAAAGAGAAAGTATTAGAACAAATGCGAAGCAATTTAACCAACTTACCTTGAAAGAAATGTTTAATAAAGTAAACAAATGGCTAATCTTTGGAATATGGTAACAGGTAGTTTGGCGACATTTTGGTAAGGTGATAAAGGTTACTAGCTAGGACTTTAGCTATGTACATGGATAAAGTCAAGAGTGTGCATAATGCCATTTTTGTGTAATTCTGGGATGTTTTTTTAAGTGAAAATAGGTCGACGTGTACATGGATACCATGTATGTGCAATTCTTTAAAATGCGGCAAGCAGTTTGCGATTCTGCACTTTCTCCCAATTTTGCACTTAATCTTCATCATGATTAAGCAGTTTTGTACCATAAAAGTTCTAGCATAAGCGTAATTCGGCTAGCAGATTGTTGGAAAAAAAATGTTGATTAAAAAAAAAAAAAAAAAAAACATGCCCATTACTTCGTGAAAACAAAATGGCGTCCAAACAAAAACTAGCAGGTTGCTGTAGCAGGGTTGGTCGCCAAATTTTCGCCAAAAAATCGCCAAGTTACCATAATCCAAAGATTAACCAAACAAATAAATATAAGCCCCCTTTTTTTTTTTTTTTTTTTTTTTTTTTTTTTTTTTGGTAAATTTTGATACTCTTTAGATCATAAATGCTTCATTATTTCATAAATCATGATTTCATCTTTTTAATTTTATATTTTCTACATGCCATCTTAGTAGATTTAAACTGATGATCAAATATCCGGAAAAATCCGGAATCGCGGAAATCCCAACAAGTCCAGATTTTGGACTTTGTACTGTATTGAGCTTTTTAAAATTTTTTATTCTCCTAAAGTCATAAATGCTTTATTATTTCGTAAATAGCTTTTTGTGATTTTTAATTTAATAATTTGCACATGTCATCACACTGACAATCTAAAATCCCTAAATTTGTTAAATCTGGAATTACTGAAGTCCTGACATTTATGGGTCTTGGATATTGTATTGTATTAGTTTGAATATTAAGCAACTTTATACAAAAGCCATCCATATTTCTTATAGTATTTCATAAAGACAGAAAAAAATGGCTTGTGTTAATATAACTGAACCTAACATTGTATGAACCTAATATGGTAATGATATTTTGTGAGAAAAAATTACATTATTTAAATATTGTAGTTCGAGCAAAAAGTAAGTGTAGGCATTTTTTTCCTTACTTATAAGAATAGTCAAAGAATGAGTTTATCTTAACAATTACCACTCATAAAGAATGGTTCATTTCTAGGATGATATGTTTTATTGAAAGACATTTATGGTAGAGAAAACATGTATATTCAGACTAGTATAGATATAGCAGTACAAAGTGTGAGATTGGAAATCTTCATGACTTAGCAATTTTGGATTTTAGATCATCAGTTTAAATCTAGCAAAATATCGTACAGACATGGCAAGATTGGAACTTCACTTATTGTTTAGGTGAAACAGAAAAATACTGCCTCCCCCCCCCCACATATATGCAAAAACACTCAAGAGCCAAAAGTGTGATTCTGGCAAACATCAGTGTAATGTCATTGGTCATGGTGCCACACCCTTGCCAGCAAATGTCTGAAAATGACATGTAGGAATCTCAGTTAAAAAAGATGACATTTATAGCACATCTGCTACCATTTCTAGACTATAAGTTGTGTATTCTCCATTTCTAGACTAATAAGTTGGAAGGATTTTTTTAAACATAATTTTATTTATTTTCTTATTTTTCTGGTAGTGGTCCGGATGTCTGGATATTAGATCATTCTGGATTTTGGATTATGTAATTGAATTTTGCTGAAAAAAAAACTTTAAGCTAAAAGAATTTATTAAATATTTAATGGTCATTGCCACAGCAATTCATTGGTATTAAGCAACTGTTATGCAAGTCTTTAATTTTTTTTTATATCATTTAGGTACTTGGAGATGAGGCTAAACGTAGGGAATATGACCAGTGGGGAACACAAGAATTTGATGGTTCAAGAGCTGGGAATGAATTTAGCTATAAATCTGATATTGATCCTGAAGAATTATTTCGTAAAATATTTGGAGATTTAAATTTCAAGATGAGAATGTCTGATTTTGATTATGCTGATTCACATTTTGGGTTTGGATCTTCTGAACAGGTAAATATAAATATTTCACATGTTATTTTCAGGCTTTTTTGCATTATAAATTCAATCTCTTTATAACCATTTATAAAATTAAATTTTTTAAAAAAACTATAAAAAATAGAATATAGCCTATAGATTTATGAGTTGTGGTGGGAAACTACATTTCATTTCATGCATTTCTAAATTTTCTTACCAGACAATGTTTACTTTTTATCCTTTCATGATTTCAGAGGATTTTTGATTAGTTCCCTCCCACACACACATACTGAGCATTCTCTTTTTTATTTTTATTATTAATAATGAACTGTAGTGGAACTGTAGAGTTTGCCGTCTTTTATTTTCATTATGTTAAGTTTCATCATGTCTTAAGCCCTACTCTGTTCACCCTGTTTTGGGCTGGTGCAGAGAAAATAAGACCAAAACTTGTTGATATTGCAATGTTTGCTCACAATATTGTTCTTTGGAATTCAAGTACAGATGTGAGTAACATCGAAACGATCCTTAACACTACTTTAGTTGCAGTTTCTGAGTTTGAAACAGAACACAAATTGATTTTCAATGTAGCTAAATTAATAGTGAATATTCTTCACTATTAATAACTACAAACCAAAGTTGTGCTTCAAAGCTGAGCCCCTTGCAAATGAAAAGCATCCCAAATACCTAGGATTCATCCTTAATCCTGAATTCTACAGCAACAGACATAGAGACCATCTGGTTCTTTTTCTGAAACCATCTGGTTTCTGGTTTCAAGGGCCATAAGTGTTTAAATATTCTCAAATACAGGGTGGTTGTAACTAAAGTTTTACTTTGAAATGGTTATAATAGGAAAACTACTGGACCAAATGTTAACAAACTTCGTAATTTTGTAAAGGATGTCATGGGAAGTGGATCCCATCACATGCTAACATGGGGGGTAATGAGGTCACTGATAAACTAGCCAAAGAGGGTAGTGAGAATGAAACGGCCACTGGCTCTTCATTTACTTATCAAGAACTATACTTAAAGATTTAAGTTCAATTTAATATGGCATATTCCACCTACACACCAGTGGTACAAGAATATCCCCTGGCTTTCTGTTGGAAATCAAGTGTGACCATGCCTCCCAGCAGGGCTTAATTTCTAAAATTCAAAGTGCCAGAGCCCTATGGAAGACCGTCAGCAAAGTAGAACAAAAGTAAAGAAATAAATAAAATGACTATTAAAATCATTAATAATTTAAAAATTAAATAGTTAATTATTACGAAATTAATTATTATTTAATTAATATTAATAATTCATACCTGCCAACTTTTACGAATTTTTTGTAACTTTTACGAAAATGCGTTTGTCTTTACGATTTTACGATTGTAATCCATTTTTTACGATTTTTTTCCTTTTTCAAGTGTTTTTAGTGATTTTTGTCGAAATTTTAGAATTTTTTGCCAATTCAGCGATTTTTACCGATTGCATTGTGTTTTACCGACTACTTCGAATCCAGTAACCTGCGGTTTCTCCCAACTCGCCGCTTAACCAGCCAATCCAATGCGCTGAACTTGTTTTCCCACTTTTTTTTTTTTTTTGTGGGTGCCAGATTATTTTTTCCGCGTTCGCTTCAGCAGCAAGGGAATTACTCAGCTCGGACTCAGCGAGCATGGATTGTCGCATTCTTTTTTTTTTTTTTTTTTTTTTTTTTTTTTGTTGTTTGTTTGTTTGCACATGCTACGAATTTTCTTAATACGTCGTTGTTACGAAATGAGTTTAAAAAAAACATATTCTCAATATTTTCGGCCTGCCTACAAAGCCGAATTTCCAACAATTAAAGAATCCTGCAAAGGAAATAACTATGCATTTTGCAAAGTGTGTGTGTGTGACTTCATAATAAGTCATGGTGGAAGAAGCGACATTGTGAAGTATGTTAAGTCTTAAAAAGCATGAAGTTAATGCTTCAGCTTCGACAACGTCAAAGAAAGTGGATGATTTTTTTTCAAATTCGGCTACAAATTCGGATGCCGATGTCATTTTGGCAGAGTGTTTGTTTACTGCATTCCTCATCGGACAGCAGCGCTTAGCGGCACGTTGTGTCCGATGAGGAATGCAGTAAACAAACACTCTGCCAAAATGACATCGGCATCCAGCGTGACGCTGGTCAACTTTTCAGACGACTCCAAGATTGCTCAGAAATATGGTTATGCTCGCACGAAAACATCTTCTATTGTGAACAAAATTGCTTGCGATGCACAAAGTAAAACGATAGCTACACTCCAGAATTCAGCATTTTCGGTGTCAATCGATGGCAGCAACGACAGCGATTGGAAGCTTTACCCCATCGTTGTCACATATTTCTGTGATATTTCTAATGAAATGAAAACTCATCTTTTGTGTCTTCCATTGTTAAATGGAGACGCTACGAGGGAAAATATTGCCTCCTTGGTAATTAACGAAGTTGAAACAACTTAACATCCCATACAAAACTGCATTTCATTTGGTGCAGATATGCTCATGTATGTGGGTGACGAAAAGGGTGTAGCCTCTTTCTCAAAAAAGAACAAAATGAATTAATTGTTATGGATGCCATGCCACTTAATTATTCGGCAGCAGAAAATCTGCAGCTGCTTTACCTTAAATATTGACCAGCTTCTGATTGATGTGTTTTTCTATCTGGAAAAAAGTGTAAAAGGAAAGAAAACCTAAAGAATTTCCAAGAACTGTGCTCTGGTGAAATGAGAAAAACTCTGAACATGTATGCACAAAGGTTATCCTTAGGCAGAGCGCTAGAAGGTTTATTGAACAGTGGGATGCATTGCTAAAATATTTCACGAAGAGACCAAAACGAAACCACAGATCCCATCAAATTGTCGGCATATAAGATTCTGAAACCAACTTTGCTTCTAATCAAAATGCTTTAAAAGGGAAAAGCCAACCACAGAATCAAAACCCTTTAAAAAGAAAATGCTAGAAGTCTCCTCAAAGTCAACTTTATTAAAGAAGTTGAAGGGAAGAAGAAGCAGTCTTCTATTACCGGGAGGAAAGGATTTTCTATCTTCTTTCTTCGGATTTGAACAAAGCATATTGTAGTTTTGTGTTAAATACCATTAAGATTTTTGAAAGTGAAAATACCCTTTTACAATCAGCTTCGGCAAAATCTCCCTGCTTATCCAAATTCTTAATGATCTTTTGAAAGAATTTATACTAAGTTTGTAAAACCGTCTGTTGTGAAAAACAGGTGTTGATTCGTGTTGCCTATAATAGTTGGCAAATCAAAAGGAGGACAATGATCTTATAATTGGAAATAAAACCAGGATCTTTGAAAGATCATGAGAAAAAAGAATTTTTTCAATGTGTTAGAAAGTACTTTTCTCAGCCTGTGATTACATTGTAAGGAAGTTTCCTTTGCAAAATGAAGTTTTTTAAATGCTGAAGTGGCAAATTTGAACAATTGAAAATTCATCTTTTGAAAAGATTCGTTTTTTATTGATAAATTCCATTTTGTTAACAATTAAAGAAAATGAATGCCATAATGATGTACTACAGACCAATTTTCTGCTGCACGGTTTTTTGAAACTTTGCCAGTTCTGGCGAAGATAGACTGATGTCTCGTTGGTACCTTAAAAGAATAAAAAGAGCTGAGGGAACACCAAATATGATAGCCTAGCAAGTTTTTTGTTATGTGCTGTTCTCGTAATTCCACACAGTAATGCGAGTGCGAGAGAGAGCTTCAGTATTGTGAGAAAAACAAAAATGTTTCGTTCTTCAATTTCACCAAAACTCTAGAAAAATTTTAATGCTAATGTTATGAGGAAATTAATTGTTTATGACAGGAATGTTCCAAAGAATTTTTGGCTAAAGCCAAAAATGCACTCTAAATTCATTGCAATAATTTTTTTGTGTAACATTAAGTTCTTGTTTTATGTTTCCTAATAAATTTTTTAGTTACTACTTAATTGAATTTACTAATTAAGACAATTTTCTTTTTCTATTTGTATAAATTGTTATTTTTTAATATCAAAGCATGATATTAATTCTTCATGTTCTTCTGAATTTTGGAGAATTGAATTTTATCTTTAGAGGTTGGCAGTATGAAATTTAATAATGGTCGTTATTATGTAATTAAACAATTATTATTTCTTAAATAAAATAAATAAATAAATTATTAAAATTTAAATAATTAAAGATTAAAATAATTAATATTAAATTAAATAAAAGGTAAAGAGATATATTAAAATTTAATAAGTGATTTGTAATATAATTTTATTGCAAAAATATTAAATTTTCAAGATCAAATTTCTACTGAAATTGTTGTTCAGTTATATAAATGAAGCACAGGAGCCTTCTGATTTAGGGCTCCGGTGGGCTCCGGCGCAGTTTAAGCTCTGCCTCCCAGACTGCCAAGTGGCCACCTTAAATGTCTTTCCTTTGATAGTGGCAGAAACATCCACCCCATTTGTAAAAAATGCTGTGACCATCCAGCTTCACTGGATCACATTCTAAGTTTGCATCAGACTTTCTGGGGGGACTTAACATCTTATCCCCATATTATTATACATTTTTTGGCTGTCAACAACCTTCTGGAGCTGATCTGGTGTATGTCAGATCTTTTGAGGATAAGCAACAACATGTGTTGAAGTTGTAACTGTTTTGGGTGATTTGTAATCATGGCTGGTGCTCAGTGCAAATATTTTGTAAGGCTGTGATGCCTTTTCCATGTTAATTTTTGCTGTATACATAGTTTTTAATTACTGTGACTATGTTTTTATTACAGCGACATAGTTTTTATTACAGCTGAAAACTGAGCTTCGCACAAATATGATATTAAAAAGGAAATTAGAATTCGCTGAGCTTTATCACTTAGAAGGGGTTATTTATCTTTTATTGAAATCCAAAATTCTGTCAATTCCATGCCAAATTTTGCTTTCAGATTGTTGTCACAAGATAATTCGATAAGATTCTCTTCTGCAAAACTAAATTCATAGGGAGCACTAGTGTTAAATGGATCTTGAATCCATGCAAACATATCAAAATTTTTTATTTTGAAA